ATAAAAGGTGCACTGTTTTCTTCTCGTTGCTTTCCATTTCTTGCACTCTAGCTAAAGAATTTTTCAAGTATAGAGAATTTAGCAATCATCGCATGCCAGAAAGGATTGCATTCCTGTGTCTGAAAATTGCATCTATTCTTAAAACGATTATGGCGACGATGTATCGACGGTGGGTATAAAGTCGCATTATTCAAAGTCGATAAGTCAAAGTTATGGAGTATAAAGTCGCATTACCCTTTCGGCTGGTTCTAGCCAGGATACGTCATTTTATTTCCAGAGAATTGGGACATAAGTTTGATCCCTTAAAATATTTTGCCGTATGTTATATTATAGTCAATTGGATCGACTTTGAACTCGGTCCCTGTGTTAACCTTTTAGTCTAAAAGATCTCGTACTGTGTCCATAGGACGCACCATTTGAATATGTCATTTTAAAATGTCATGATGGAATACTTCAGAATCGGGTCTGAAAAAAAGCTTAAAATTGTTTTTTTGTTAAAAGTTTTCTGCTTAGAGCAAAAAGAGATTGTCAAATTTTTTCGCAGCGCTGCCGGCATACTAACACACTTAATTGACAAAACCTCGTTATTTTACAATAACAGTTGACAATGCCAAATTATTTTAGAATCTCTCGAATTCGCTCTAATTTTGCCTTACTTGAACTTTAAAACAAGAAAGGAAAGCTAACTTAGGGCGGAGCCGAAGTTGATATACCTTTGCAGTATATAATTGTCCGATCCTTATGAGAATATCATAATAAAACCAATTAATTACAATAAAACATATAAAAAAAAGTCCCAATCTTCTATCTTCAAAAATACCAAGGTTGGTATAGAAATACGAACTTTTTTGTATATGTTTTATTGTGGTAGAAACCAAAAACAATTTCCGATCGTTCAGTTATATGGCAGCTATAAGATATAGTCGACCGATCGTAATTCGGTAGGTCGGATTAACTGATCAAAAATATACTCTCTACTAAGTTCCAGCTTTCTATCGACAAAAACACGAAAGTTAGGTCATTTCCGATTGTTCAGTTATATGGCAGCTATAGGATATAATCGGCTTATCCCTGTCGTTCATACTTATAAACTGTGTGCAAAAGAAAGGTATGTGCAAAGTTTCAAGTCGATAGCTTTAAAACTGAGAGACTAGTTCGCGTAGAAACAGACAGACGGACAGACGGACAGACGGACATGCTCATATCAACTCAGGAGGTGATCCTGATCAAGAATATATATATTTTATAGGGTCGGAGATGTCTCCTTCACTGCGTTGCACACTTTTGGACAAAATTATAATACCCTCTGCAAAGGTATAATAACATTTTTTACTGAGAAAAATGTTTTAAAAAATTTGGTTCGAACAAGTTTTTTCCACAGAAAATATAGATGGGGAAGTTTTTAATTTTTTTAAGACTGTAACCTATAGGGCCGTTACTACTTTTTGTGGCGATAAGTAGTTTTTTAAAAGTCCTTAAAATAAGGATCTAATGACCTTAAAGCTTCAGTGATCTTTAACAGTCTCTTAACGTTAACAGAGAACTTCACTGTTAAGTTATCAGCTGTTAAAGTCCACTGTTATTGCCTATAAAAAAACGGTCCAATAGGTGAAATATTTTCATTTTTTTTAAAAGTATTTTTAGTGGACTAAAAGGATTTAAAACTGAAATGTTTGATAGGCAGTCGGACCAGATGGGATTTTATTAAGTGTTTGTGGGTGTCAATTATAGGAATTGATCGTGTTGTTTTTGTAATGTGTATATTTGTGTACCCCCTGATAAGGTTTAAGTTAAATTGAAGTACAATTTTTAAATGGAGTAATAAAAATACTTTCACCTTCATATTTGTACTGTGTTGTAGTGTGCCTCGTCCTCTTTTAAATAATTTTAGTCTAAAAGTGGATTTATTGCACGTGTTTTTAATATTTGTATTTTTAGGTTAGAGGCTGGGGGTCGGCAACGATAAATTGTTCGATAAATGGAAATCAGCTACAACGAAAAGCTGCAAGAAGATCCAAATTAAAAATTAATAGTTCAAAGCAAAAAATTTTCCAATTTTGAAAATTTTACCGTTGCATCGGTATATCGGTGTTTAGAAGAAGGTGTGCTGATTGGATTTCTTCGCAGACTGTTCGAAGATGATCCGAAGAACCGTGGGTAGACCTTCATTATCATTCGCGTTTAAAAGTAACAGAACGATAAAAAGGGCAGCATCAGGTCTTGCTACTCGCATGACAGGATTTATGGGTCTTTTAAGACAATCATCTTTTAATACAATAATACAAATCATAAAGTCCGGAAAAGGAAAAAGTTATTCGAAATTTACTAGGACAGAAAAAATTCAAAGCCCAAGAAAGTATCAACCGATGAAGCTGTAGCTGTAGTTCTTTTGAATGAGAGCTTAATAAAATTTTGTTCCATAAGGGAGCTGGCACTTCCCTCATACACAGAGCTTACATACACAGGCCCGGAGCGAGCCCGGGCCTAAAAATTAAGATTCGTAGCAAAAAGGCCCTGCCCGTAAAATCCGAAATAGGCCCGAAATAGGCCTGATAACAATTTTGATTCGATCGCGCTATTTTTTTTTTATTCTCCAATTACAATCAGTCAGGTTTTTTCCGGCAATCGCTCATTTGGTAGAACTTTTCCTGAGCCCTCCTTATAGAGAAATGAATTTCCTCTCAGAGGAAAAAACGGAAAATGTGATAGCTACGGTAGAAGCAATGCTCTCCGAATTTATAGGAGATCATGAAAAAAGTACTTTGATGACGTAACTAATAACATTAGCCCAAATAATTCCAAAAATGGAATGTTTGCTGAATTTTCAGACTTACGTTATATAAAAAAGAAAAGTTGAGTAAAACGATATCGATATAGAGGTTGAAAAATATTTGGCCTATTCAGTAGCTCCTGGTACTCCTGGACTTAAAATACCTTCCCAAATTAGCTCGAACCACTCTGGCTATTCCAGCCAGTTCGTCTACAAGCGAAAGGCTTTTTTCTACGTGTGTGTAATGCCATGTGCCATGTGTTAAATGAAAAACTCACTAGGCTAAAAAGACAAAATTTTGAAAAAATTTTATTTTTAAATAAAAACATGACATAGTTTGTTTTTTTTTTAGACAGGTCACTGAAGTACAGGGCCGTAGCTAGAGCCTCGGGGGCCCTGGGGCAACAAGTAAATTTGGGGCCCCCTATACGGAAGTCTTTTGTCCCGGCGGGGCCCTGGGGCACCGCCCCACCTGCCCCATGCTAGCTACGGCCCTGCTGAAGTACCACAAGCTCGGCTGGTATACATCGTCCGCTCCAGCGCCTGATTTTTCACTTCTATGTACCTTTTGTAGTTCTCGTCTATATGACGCAGGCAACGAATTAACTTTTTTCTTCACGGTGTCTAGTGTGGCGTGCTCATCAAATTCTTTATATTTTTCGAGTAGCACTTCCCATGCATTATTACGCAAATGTTTGTTTTTTTATGCATCGCTTTTGGCGTGCCATAGAGCAGGCTCATTTTTTAGGCATTAAATAAAATCTAGCAAGAACTTTTTATTAATTTTTCTCTACCTGAATCTTTTTCCAATTGACGTTCGTGCCAACATTGCCATCCATTGGCGAGCATTTTGTTTCCAACTTTGTCAAAATTGAACGATTTCAATATCATTCGAACATTTTGACGAACACAAAATTTGACAACGAACACTACCATCCACAGGAAAAATTTAATCAAGCACAACATGTTCGCCCAACATGCTCGCCTGTGGATGGGCCCCTTTAGTTAGGTTTAATAAATATGAACCTAATAAATGTGTACATAAAAATAACATGTCTTTAAAATTTCCTCATATGTGTAAATAAGTTTCGTGCCGGGCCGGTTTCGTGTGCGGGTTGGCCGGGCCTCTCAAAAAAGATTTTGTTTTCGTGCGGACCCGGGCCTCAAAATACAGGAATTTTGAGTCCGAATTTCGGACTCACAACCAATTCAGCCTACCATTGAAAGTATCTGAATTGCTTAATGGCTTAAGTTGTACTTCGGCTACACATTTAAAGGACATTTCAAATGATCAATTTGAATTTTAATTTGATATGGAACTACAAACCGAAGAACAAATACAATGACAATCGAAATGAGGTACTCAAACATAATATAATATTTTAATTTTTCTTCATGCATTTAAAAAACAACTATTTAGAGCTAATCAAGGCTGTGATTAATGAAAATAGATATTTTAAAGAATACTTTGCCTTTTTCATTTTTCTATAAATAAATATAGACAAATAAACATATATTTTTAAGATTTTTTTACGGAATTTTATGGTGAAATACGTCGCTACGCCCATTTTCTCAAATTTCGGTCACAAAAAGTGGTCGTTGGCCCCATAGTGAGTCGTCTGGGTACCCTTCTACCTATAAATCTGCGATCTCTTAATAGGTGCCTGACTAGTACCTCAACTTTTTAAACAAATCCTACTTTAGGCACCATCAGGCCCTTTTTAAAGTTCGCTGTGCACATATTCCATGGGGAATGCGTAACGTTTGGTCTTGAATAAATCTAATCTTACCCAAATTATATTTTGATGCTATGACGTATGCTTGCAAGCCATAACGCCATGAGGGAGCAATTACCGCTTTGTATATAAATATCTTGTTTCTTAGGGATAACTTCTTCCGACCATTTAGAAACCATCTTAGTTTCTTTAGCTTTGTATTAATGGCCTTTGTAATGGACACTATGTGTGTTCGGTCTAAATTAACCCCGAGGTACTTGCAACCTTCTAAATGGAGCTGTTGTTGGCTTACAAGAAATACCCTAGGTCAGGATTGTGGGCGCCTTACACACTGGCACATTTGCTGGGACTAATACAGATTAGTTATAACTACTTATTACAAGTAAATTCAAATTATTACATATACCACATATAATTTTAAGAAAATTGCAATACTGTTTTTCAATACTTTACGTATAGGTTAAAGAAAATTTATCTTTTTTTCAACATTTCAGCTTTTAAAATAGTGGAAGGTAAAAAACTAATTTTGACAAATGTTCATCGAACAGATATGGGAGCCTATAATTGCATTGCATCTAATGGTGTACCTCCATCAGTCAGTAAACGCTTCGATGTCCAAATAAATTGTAAGTTTTAATTGTGAGTTAAATTGAATTAAAATTATAAGATTATCTTAGCCTATTTTTATATAAAAATATTTGACCTTTTAACCTAGTCTTGATTATTTTTCTAAAGAAGATAATACCGCCTGCATTATCTATCGCTTGTTTGCGATCTCGCGGTTTCGTTTTCTCAGTAGTTCCACTCCGCCAAGCCCTCCTTAAGGCATCATTATTGTCATCAATGACACAGTGCAACAGTGATTTGGAACTTTTAAAGGAACATAGTAGGAATTGTTAATCAGGTCGCATATAGCACAAAACCGTGTTTGAAATAATTGTTACATCCTTAAAATCTTGATTTATTAAAAAAAAACCGTTTTTGAGACTTCCAACTTTTTTAAAGAATTTAATGTTGTAGCTTTTGAAAAAAGTAGATCTTCAATTTGTTTAAGCAAAGAGGAAACAATTTTTACACATCGTGTTTTTCGGACCTTGAACCCATTTATTTGGTACAATTTTCAAAAAAATGTATCATTTATAACTCATATCAATATTGTCTCATTAATCCTAAATAAAATGAAACCAATTGTTGTCTTCCAAATGGTCAAGCGTTTATGGATTATCCGAATAGACCAATGCCTTTACAAAGCCCCAAAGAAAGTAGCCTACTGGTATATGTAACGTCGGCGTTAGATCGGCGTAGGTGGCAACCCTTGGGAGGGGAAATGGCAACCTAGGTTGAAGCCTTTCTGACGCAGTAGTAGCAGGCCGATAGGCATTGCCGATATCTGGGGGTCTGGCAATCGGATTGAAGCGGTTATTGGAAGCTGAAAGCTAGACGTAGGAATCCGCGTGGGAACAGCATTTTCTTTGCATTTCTGGCGCGGTTCCAAAAGGTTCACCCAGTAAAGGAGAAAAATTTTACGCAAAAAGCGCGAGAGCAAGTTGGAGATTGAGCCCAATCGGAGTTCAACAGGTTTTAAAAACATGTGACAACAGCATAGAAGGAAGCAAAGTCGGTCTATCTGGTGGCCTCATGGTACCCCGTAGGAACATGTGGAGACGCGAGAGTTGAAAAGACGGGAAAGGTTTCGTTGGAGAAGCCGCTAGTTGTGGTCCGATGCAGCCAAACTCGGGAGCTAGACTCGGAGCGTTCGTGGCGCTTCTAAGGGACGCTCCGCCGCAGAGAAGGGAGCAAAGTCGGTCTATCTGATGAGTTGATGAGTGGAGGGTTCCGTTCTAGACAATGGCTTCTATTGGCCGGCTGAATAAATAGTTTATTTTGAGAACGGGTTGGCGAAATCTTTTCCGGAATAATATTCCTTTCCAGCCTCGAGAAAGTGGAAGCGCTTCAACCAGCTTGTCGCGGATGAAAGGGGTGAGTAAATCCTAATTTTTGTTGTACGAAGCCAATTGAAGCGACACGGAATATTCCGGTCATTAATCTACCGCGTCGTCCGATTCCGAGCCGAAGGGGGTCCACCAAGTGAACGATTGCCCTCACCTTGAGCCGTTAGAGCAAAAGCCCGATCCTGAAGTGAAAAAAGAGCGTCGCCAAACCGGGGTTATGCAATATTAGCCCGTGGATAATGTCAGCCGATTCTATCGATTCCGCATTCGCTAGCCGCAGATAGCCTTTCACCAAGGAGCGGTGTAAAGGAGCTTAGGGTGTAATTTTCATTCATAGCGAAAAGAAAAAGATAAATGAATAAGCAATAAAGAAATGAAGTAGTATTCGGCAATTTCATAAGTTAATATAGCTTTAAGAATTATTCCATTGGAGTTTAGCACACCCGCACCATTGTCTTAAGTTTCTCATTTTTATTTGTTGAACCTAGGAACTAATTGGTAGACATATGTATAAGTCAAGAGAGAAAACTGATTTGTTAGCGAAAGTAAGGGGAAGTTGGGATGGGGATACAGTAGACATTTATGTATACTTTAACCTAATAAACCTGGATTTTATAATGAAGTAAAAGAAAAATAATTCGCCTCGCTTAATTCGTCGCCGCATTCTCGCCCGATGGTCCAAAGGTGCCACCTCATAAGATTGACTGTTCGTCAGGCAATAAAGCGCACCAAACAGTCCGTTTTTCTAGATTTAACTGTGTTCTGACATACACATGAGGGTTAGCTTCACTCCAAATGCGGCAGTTTTGTTTGTTGACAAAGCCATTCAAACAGAAGTGCGCTTCATATCTAAACGAAATTTTGCTTATGAAAATCGGAAACAATGACAATCTCGTTTTAGCCCATTCGACGAATTTACGCCTTGTTTGATTGCCAAACCAAACTGAGAATAAATAACTTAACAGCTGTTAAATCGGTCGCCATTTTGAACAGGAATGCGAATGTGAAGTTCTATACCTATACGAAAACACCATTTAAATGTTTACAAGAGCTTAAACTGCTTTGAAAATCTGAGGTTACATTTTGTTATTTTTAACGTGCATTCAGGGACCGTAATAATTACAATTTTTAAAATAACTAAAAATGTAATGTGTAATGTTCATACCCAGTACTCGGGTGCCATGGTCGAATATACGTCCGTCTGTATGAACACGTGGATCTTAGAGATTATAAGAGATATAGCTTAGAATTTGGCATTGAGACTCCTATAATACCTACGCTGTTCAAGTGGTTTTTTGAATTTTGCCACGCCCTCTTCCGCCGCTACGAATAGCAAATTTCTGTAGCCTTAGTACAGGAAAGTTTTTTTAAACCTTTTGATGCAAAACTATTTCTATAGCTTTCGAAGCCCCACGGCCTAGTCCGGTCTCCGCGATACTGGTTGTTGCAGTTGCAAGCATTTTCATTTAAACAAGCCACACGTGTGTTTCTGTGATTATGGAGCTCAGGTTAGCGCCCCGGACGCTTCCAAGAGGGAGCAGTATTTCTCGTTTCTCGATTGTGTACGCCAACCTTTTCCCGCTATTATGCACCATGCTTAATAATTTATTTATTTATTTATTTCGCCAACGGATAAATCTTTATATGGTTACAAAATAACAGCTTACAAACTAATAAATAATAGTACAATACTAATAAAAACCTAATAAGTGCCTAATTAACAAGCGTTTAAACAAAACCTTATGAGAGCACCACTTAATTCGGAGGATACGCGGCAAAGATTTAAAATAAGAAAGAGCCCCCTCAATCGGCTCGTTTGAAATGTAATTGGCTCTGTGACACTTGATTCGAAAGGGAACACACGAAGAAGATCCCTTTGAGGAACATTAAAATTAAGGAGTCCCAGTAAAAAAAGGGCAATCAATGTTATCAGCGACTATATTTTTCAAAAAAGGATTAAAGGCTAGCTTCGATATCGGATATATACTGATTGTAGAGAACTTATTAAGGAAATCAAACTCCCGCTTAAATTGCCAGTACAACTCTCCTGCTCGAGGTTCCCTTGTCTTTATAAATTGTTTGAAAGGCGTATCCCTTCTATTCTTTAAGTGTTTTAAGCCTTTTGTATACCAGGGAAGCCTATAGGATCTTTGGGGGCCGTCTATATATTGCGTGACGCGAATTTCAGACTTTTTTGACCCCCTCACCCCCCTGCGTGACAAACCATGACGTGAGGTTAGACCCCCGTGACCACATGCGGTGACGTTAACCCGAACCCCCTCACCCCCCCGGGCGCGTCACGCAATATATGGACGGCCCCTTGTACCCTCACAGGAACATAACTATCAATAATATTAAAATTAGAACGATCATAGATTGAGCCATCCGAAAAAAAGGGAAACCCAAACAAAGGCTGAAATAGACGCATTAACAAGTGACACGTTAGTATCATTCAGATGATAATATGGAATGGGTGAAGCAGAAGGCAAAAAACTATAAAACTCAATATGAATTACTAACGGCTTGTAGTGCATATCACATGCACTAAATGGTACATTGCATAATTCTTCGTTACTGTTAACCACATTATTTGAAAATGTAAGATCAAGAATTTGGGATAAATAATCAGAAATATAATTTACTTCAGTTCTGGATCGCTAAAGGAAATACAAAGCTGTCTCCTTGTAAAAACCGTATTCCAGAACTTTATTCTTCAACCCAGGCCAAGTGGAATCAAACGTGGGCGTGGGATTCTATGGTCCGGTTTTTGGAGCAGAGCTGCCGAATTCTCGAGACTGTGGATATTGAATTGGCCTCCCATGCGCCAACCTACCAGGTGGGAAGATGTAGACTAACTAACAATATATCGTGTATGCTTAGTTACCATCCTACACACCCATATCGAGGCGTGCCCTCTGCGTGGGGCGAAAGTCCATGGCATATCCGCTTGTTCGCGTTTTAATGCCCTATCGATTAATGAACGATACAGTGAAGCAACAAGACTGTATCTTTGTTTTGTGTGCCAATCACTTAAGGATGTAGTCTCATGTGTGAGGTTGAAAAAATCGATTTTTTTTTTCTCACATATTTCGAAAGTACTGTTTATTAAGAATGTAAGATAAGGTTTGGTTTAGTTGTGGCAGCGTGTTTGCCTACAACAATATCCACCTGCACAGCTCTTGCAGGAGGGTTCCACCGTGGCACGTGCTGCTCACGGAATAGTGGGTTCTGACGAAACCGATGCGGCAAGTTGCTGCCCACAACGGTCGGACACTTTGTAGATGTCTCTGCACTTCCGTAACGATGCAGTGCATCGATCAAGACCAGGTGGTGGCCACGATCAGTGACAATGATGCTGCTGATCCTCTTCTTGTAAACAGGTAGCCGGGTCGTGGCTACAGTTATTCCTCCAACGGTGATTAGGAATAAAACATAAGACTTGAAAGAGGTGCCTTTATTCTTCGGCTGTCAGATCAGAACTAACTAACTTAAGATAAGGAGAGCTTAGTCGTAACCCTAACTCGCACAGACCACAGCCGTCGGCCAACGCCCGTCGTAAGACCATATGCGTCGTCCGTCTTCGTGTCCTTATCTTAGATAACCATTGTTAACTACTCTCCTTTTTCAAAACATGGACGTCCTCGGCCATATCCATGTTAGCGAGGATTTGAGTC